CTTGTAATTCCTTACGGTTCCATTGTTGTAGTTGTGACATAGTAAAACTATTCGCTTGGGTTCCTTCTTCTTATACATAATCACGGCATGATCCACCCTCAAATTTAGTGATACTATTTCTTGGGGTTCAACTACTCTAAGATGCTTTAAGTATGGTACCGTATACCCCCCCAAGCCCCACTCTGATTGTTATTCTGTTGACCAACTAACCCATTCTGGCACTTGGAGGACCCGAGCGGCTTAGGGTCCAAGGTTTGGGGTCTGCGGCTTAAGGTTGACGTTGTGGGGTGTAGGCTTGGGGGGCTTGCTATAGCATCGAATGATATTGAAGCAGAGTAGGGTCCTTTCACCAGGGTCTCCAAGGGGTCATAGGTCGGAGCCTCAGCTCAGGCGTCTCTCAAAGCGGCTGCAGATGAAGCCTCCCAGGAAGCTAAAAGCGACCGGGCGGTTGACGACGGGACTTCGGGGGTTCCAGGCCTTAGGGGAGGCTCACCGAAACCATAAGCCGTAAACCCTAAACGCCCTAAACCCCTAAAGCCCTAAACCCTAAACCCTAAACCCTAAACCTTTCTGCAGAAAAAGGCCCCATTGCACTTTAAAAAAAAAACCCTAAACCTTTTGTGGCGTCCTTGGGGTGAAGGGGTTCTGCGTTAGGGGTTCGGGTAGGCTGGGGATCTTGCCTGGGGTTTCAGTTCTGAGGCTCGTGCATGGTACCCAAAGGCTCCTAGATACTGTTATGGGGTTTAGGGTTTAGGGGTTTAGGGTTTAGGGGTTTAGGGGTTTAGGGTTTAGGGTTTATATAAAACATAGTAATTCCTAATGCAGAAACCCTACCCCCTACATTCTACCTATATACTTATAGGAAGCCTTGAGGCAACCAAAAAGCCCCCAAACCCTCAAAGGAACCCTCAGGGGAACCCTATATCCCATCCCTTTGATACATGTGGACGTTATGAGGCCCCGTGTTTCTATCGATCATGGATCCGGAGGGTACGGTGCAGCCGAGATCTTGGACCTTTCAACCTTTAACCCTAAACCCTAGACCGTTCTTGTTGCCACTATCCCAGAATAGCAATGGAAATATACTGGGTCGTTGTGTGAGTAGTAAGACGAGAACTGTTGGAGGCTTCACGATTTGCGATCGCATCGCCGCCGATCTCCCTAAAGCCCTCGAACCTAAACCCTCAAATTCAGCTTGGTAAGTAGTGAGTTCTGCCTCAGTCTTAAATCGAACACTAAACCCAAGACGCCCTACCTCAAAATCCTTGCCCTCGGGTTTGCAGACTCAGGCGCTTGCGGCCGGCATCCACGCAAGGATTTGAGCTGGCAGCTTCGGCAAAACAGCCACTCGGTCCCATGCTTTAGGTTCTAATATAGAGGCCTTAATTAATTTGACCAGGGTTTAGGGGCTATATTTACAATAAGGAACACCGACAAAAGTACTGGTAATTATTTCGGCCCCTATATTGCCTTAACGCCAACTAACCTTCCTCTTTCGTGTTGCCTGAGTAGGACTTCTTCGTGTTATGTAAGTTCTCAAAGACGTAGGTTGTTTAGGGTGAAGGCAGGGTTTGGGTAGGTTTAAGGTTAGGTGTTTATGTTATGTTACCCCCCCACAACAAAGTGCGACTTGAGTAGGGTGGCATTGCCGATGAGGCCACTTTCTGCAAGAATAGCGGCTGCCATTTTACTTGTCTGAAACCCTTGGAAGGATTCGCCAGCTTAAATTCTGTTGCGGGTTCAAACCCTAAATTAACCCCTAGACCTTACAAGTCTCGACGAAGCTCGGAGCCTACGTGCAAGGACATTGAAGCCCGAAGCCCCAAAGCCCTTTGCGCTAAGCCCCACACCCAAGAGCCCAAAACCCAGGCCCAAATGCTCTGAAGATGTAAGTATTCAACCATGGAGCAACACGTAATATAGTGGCATAAGTACCTAGTATAACAGTATGCCTTAGAGTTTCTTGCTAGAACCAAACTAGATACAACAACCTTACCTTAATTCCCTCGGGCTCCAGTTTCCTAAATAATGGGTTACTGGGTTACACATAGTATATGGCTAGTAGGCTATGTAACTGCCCCAGGGATTATTAGGGCCCCGCTTCTACGTTTGCAACGACTTTGTCTGAGGCTTCGACCAGAAGCTCTTCTGGGAGTTTCTCAAAAAAGCTTTGTGGTTTAGGGAGTCCGAAAGGGTGTAGAGATAGAAGAGGAGGTTTAGGGTTTAGGGAGAAACATAACTTAGGACCCAAATCAGCAGCACAGCGCACATAAGTCTGTCAACAGATACCTGTATCCCCAAACCCTACAAAGTAGTAGGGTATGACCCTTTAATTCGAGGGTACAGCCCTGAAAACAGAAGATAGGTTTTTGGATCCCTGGTAGAGCCCTGAAACCCTGAACTCCTAAAACCCTTAAGCCCCCAGGTAGAGCCATTCATTTTTTGAGAAACTCTCGTCTGAGGCCCGGGGGTCGAATTAGAGTTTAGGGTTTAGGGTTTAGGGTTAGGGTTTAGGGAAAGCTCGACAGGAGCCATGTGAATTGGCCAGATCGGGCTGCACAACTTTTCCCATCAGAGTGCTCGCGGCTGATTTAGAAGAGTAAGATCTTCTTGCCTGAAGCTGCTGCACTCGGTTTTGAAGTTTTGAACCGGCTTGACTCCTCACAAGCTCGTGACCCTGCGAGACCCGCAGCCGGTTGCCCGCTAAGCTCGAACTATTGTCATGTGGTTACCCTAAACCCTAAACCCCCGAACCTCTAAACCCTAAACTCCTAAACCCCTAAACCTCTCAAGATGGGGTTTGGTCGGGATTGAGATCCTCACAGTAGGGACCCTGAAGCTCGATTGTCGTAAACGGAGTTTTGCAATCTCGGGCAGACACCAGGGAGGACTTTATGCTTAGACTAGGGTTTCGGTGTAGACTATAGTTTCAGTCTGTTCTGGAACCCATAATTGTGCTCCAAATATTCCGAAGTTGAGTCCCGGCCCCGGGTCAGTCATGGCCAAAAGACTTGTGTTGGTTTCAGCGCTGACATCATCAGAAAGCCTCGGGAAGCAGTGTCAGCGTTACTTGCTGCTGCAGTTCCAGCTGCTTTTAATATCGTCTTCCGCATAGCTGGCAGAATCAGCTATTAGTAATTCGGCTTGTGATTTTTGTGCTTTTGCACCGCTGCCCACAGCTTCTGCACTAGGTCCCAGGCTCCGAAAGACATGTCCCTTGCTGAGAGAGCCGACAGTGTGTAGGTCAAGGCGGCATTCGACTAATCAGACTCTTCTTCGGGGTAGATCCACAGCCGTCGCAACAGTCACGCCACCGTCTCTCCACCTGCCCGCAGCTACCAAATACACCTCCGTCATCTGAGCACCACGACGATCACCGACAGCGGCAGTGACCGGTGATGCCGCTGCTGCTGCGGCTACCGTTGCCGGCTCTTCAATTTCCCATTCATTCGGAGTCTCTCGTTTAAGGTGCCGCAGAAGTTGTGGACAGCAGCATGGGCTAGCACGCGCGTAATGTGCATCATGAGCCTGCACATAGCTGTTGCTGGCGCAGCAGCCTGCTTGACGGAGGCGGTCTAAGTATCGGTCTCGAATTTGATTTTCTTGAGCAGCTGAGTGCTGTGCGTTTGCCCGACCACACAGGCGACGGCAAAGTCTCGACATCACAAGGATGTCCCCGATCTTCCCAGCTTGACTATTATGTAAAGATCAGCTCAACCACCAGCCGTTCGACAGGGCATGTCTGGACACATTGCCATGACGGGAAACTTCCTGTTTCTCGGAGTTTGTTTTCGTTGTCTCAGTTAGTTTACCCTTACTGCAGGACAGTAGACGATTGATTCTAGGTGCTCACAGAATTTACGTAGGCAGACGGCATCCCGCAGTGTAGCTAGGATTTCGGAGTAAAACAACTTTCTGCAAGCAGGTGGTGTTGCTTTCGACAAACGTCATGGATCCTACATGGTAGCAACCTTGAAGCCTTTAAACTTCGTATATCCTAAACCCCCTCTACCCCAAACCCTACATCCTAAACCCCACTGCCTGTGTGCCCCTTAGGGGCAAAAGGATCACAAGAGTTAGTATAAGTTGAGGCATACGTAAGATAATTCCCAACTGCGATGCTTCTATCTCAGCTCTCTGTATAATCTATCTATCTACAAAGTCCCATGATCCTCTAGGCACAAAGCAGACACCAGAAATGGCACGTGGTTGAGGCGTCGAGGAACCTCATTTTGGGGCCTTGATGATTAGAATAGGGTTTTGGGGCCATTATACCAGAATTATAAAAGGAACCTCCAGAATAGTGTCGGTAATCACTAAGAACCCTAAACTAAACCCTGAACCCCGGAACCCTGAACCCTGATACCTTAACCCCAAACGGACTTTTAAGGATTTGTGCTTCAGGATTTATGGATGCCAGTTGAAGGAGAGGTGTGCAGCGCCGGTGGTTTGGGGTTGAGGGTTTATGTTTTACTGGGTTTAGGGTTTTAGAACTCAGCTTTCATTGACAGTTTCGGTAGAAGTGTGGGATCAAGTGCCGGGATACTCTGTGCTATCGGATACTTTGTGAGAGTTTCCCGAAACCCTATACTGACCCCGAGCTTTTTCGGACATCTTCATTGCTTTGGTTTTCAGTTCTCCTGCCCCAAAGCCTCTCACTACAGAAACCTCCACCCCTAGCTGTTTTGCTATATGGGAGTTTTCAAAAATAGGGGACCCTAATATAGTACCCCAAATAGTAGGATCCTTATCATAAGGACCCCAAAGTAAGCTCCCCCTAATTTTCGGAAACTCCCATATCTTTGCGGTGCCAGCAGCTCGGGTCCAGACTCTTTGCCTCCTTGCTTTGCGTCCTTGTTTCCGAGATCCTAGGCGGCACTTTGGGAAACATTTCAATTTCTGTCATGGTTCCTATAGATGTCCCTAAAGCCTAAACCCTAAACCGATGTACCTATTCATAAACACTTTTAAGGCCCCAAAACTAGAACCCAGGAGATCCCATGTCGATGGTGGTGCCAGCCCGAGGTGTGCATCTGGGAATGCCTTGTTTAGAAGGCCACAAGGCGGGACTTCCCAGATCGCACTGGTTACTATAAGGGATACTGTAAGGGATACTATCAGGGATACTATAAGGATACTATAAGGGCTACTATAAGGGCTACTATAAGGGCTACTATAAGGATACTATAAGGGATACTATAAGGGCTGCTATAAGGGTTACTATAAGGGTTACTATAAGGGATACTATAAGGGCTACCATATGCTGATGAGTCGGACGATTAGGGGTTGGTCGTTGGTCATTGCAGTCGAGCTTCTGGCCGTGAGAAACAGCATGACGACTCAAAAAGCTTAGAGTAGACCCTGAGCCTTGAAGCAAGGCCCTACAACAGACCAGCGGCCTTCAACGAAAGCCTGACGTGGAGGGTGTATGTCCATGTACCCAACTAGTCTATACTTTGGCCTTCAAGTAGTCCTTGCATGGGTACTTCAGGGCTAAAGTATTTTACTTACACGGATTAGGTTTAGGAAACCTCAGAACCCACAGCCACGGCAGGCGTCGGCATTGCCCGCCACGTCGTCGGAGCCCCGCCCATCATCACGAGCTGAAGGAACTGATGTGCCCGAGGGTTATGCGCTTTCGGGCCTAAGGGTTCCTACTAGGGCTCTGAGACCTCAACGTAGGGCTTAATTTAGGGGCCTTAATGGTTAGAAAAGGGTTTGGGGGGCTGTTATACTGTAATTGTTATGAGGAACCCCCAAAAAGTATAGCTAACTATAAATGCCCCTACATTATCCCTAAACCCAAAACCCTAAACCATAAGCCTTGTAAGGGTTTCTATACAAGGGCTTGGAGGAGACAATAGGGCTGAAGGCTTGTAGTCAAGGGGGGTCAGGATGAACTGTCCAGATCCCTCTTACCCCAATGGTCCAAAGGACCCAGGAATTAGGTAAAAAGGGTTTAGAGGATTTTTTAGGGGTTTTAAGGGTCCGAAGGACCCAATAATTGGGTATTCGGTTTAGGGTAGTAGTTATGCAGCTCACTTTTTTGGAAAGTATATGACAATTAGGTACTTGGACCCTTAGGGTTATGAACCTGGCCCAATGCGCCGAGCCCTGTACCGTAAGCCAAAACAAGCGCCTACAGAATCCCGACATGGTTTGTAAATCTTAGACTCTTTTGGGGTTCCTTTCGTCTTTAAGGTAAGCCGTGAATTCAGGAGCCCTCAGTAAAGCCGGAAAATCGAATCTGAAGTATTGTGGGTGCGGGACCTTTGCTATGATCCTGGTTCCTAGATCCTAGCCCCTAAACCTGAAGCTTCCAGAACTTGTGGGTTAGGGTTTAGTGATCTTGAGTCTCAGGGTCGACATGTAATTTCAGGTTTCGGGTTTAGGGCCTAGAATTTGTGGTGTCGGGTTCGGGGTTCAGGGTTACGGAGGGTTATGAGTTCTGTGTTTTCTGCGGGACGGGGTATGTGGTTACGGCATTCTTCACATGCCCTCTGAGCTGGACGCGAAGACCCAAAGCATGGCATCGCATCTCTGCAGTCTAAGGCAGTGAGGTCCTTTAGTGAACCTGGGCTCTGTACCATAAGTCGTATGTGCATCCTGCACATGCCTACACATACGCAGACACACCTGTGCAGGTCGATAGGAGACCTGATTCCTGTATAATCCTGTTTGTGTGAGTACTAAGCCGTTGAATTCAGAGGGCACCGTGTTGGTAATTGTTAGGAGGTAAATATGTAGGGGCATTAGTAGGGTTTTGGGTGTTCAGCTCCTTACAAATTATACTGTAAGATACCCAATCCTTATAGTGGCCCTTATAGTCACCCTTACAAGGAACCCCCTTCTATTTACTAAGGCCCCTTATATCAGCCTTCTTCGCGGGTTCCTTTTGTTTCGCAGTGTGGGTGGTTGAGGTCCCTTTTTGGGTCCTTCATACAACCCCACCCCAAGGGTCCGAAGGTTCCTTCGAAGGGTTCCAAAAAGGGTTTAGAGGATTTTATAGGGGTTTAAGGGTCCGAAGGACCCAATAATTGGGCACTCGGGTTTAGGGTAGTAGTTATGTAGCTCACTAGTTTGGAAAGTATATGATAAAGAGGTACTTGGACCCTCAGGGCAATTATGGTACCTAATACTTAGGGTACCCAGAAAGGACATGAGAATGCAGAACTTCAGGAACTAGGGCCTCGCTCCCACTTCCTTGACACCTGCAGGATTCTCCAGACTCCAGCAGTCCTTGGCCGCGTCCACGGCTACTTGGCCGCCCAGAGCCCAAAGGACTCAACCCCAAATCTCTCAACCCGAAACCCTGAACCCTAAACGGCTCAAGCCCTTTGGCTCAAGCCTACGGCTCAAGGCCCAAGGCCCGGAGGTAGGACCGTGGCGTCGTCTGCAAGGCGATTCAGTGCTCGCTCGCGGCCATCCCCGGGGGAGTGCCTGCTCTTTGCTCTCGAGCCGACCCTGTCGTTCCTGAGCGCCATCCTTCGGTGGCCACCGTGTTGCGCTACCCGATCCGGGACTTTATCCTCTTGGCCTGGCCTGGGAAGTCTTGACTGTGAGTCGGGGTGGCATTCCTTTGGCTCGTGGTGATCGGCTTGTTCTACCTGCTCCTGGACGTGGTCGTGGCTGTGGGGTATCGACAACTACATGGCTTCACCGAGGTCCAGATCACACTCGGCGACGGATGTGGTCGAGGACTCCGACAATGATGAAGACCTGCAAATGCAAGAGAAGGTGGAGCTGTCGGATACTGAGGCGGCTCGGGGAGCTGGGGTGACATCTTCGCCTGCGGCATCACCGGCGGCGGGGCGAGGACGTAAGGATCGCTGTAAGCGTGGTCGGGGGCCGATTGTGCTGGCCTCGCCTGTGATGAGTCCCTCCTCGAGGAAGCGCGAACTTGACAATGGCGGAGAACCTGACGGCGGAGATGCTCCTCTTTCGGGACGTGAACTTCGGCGTCTACTTGAAGGGCATCTACGGACGATGACTGCTTCGTGGAACCAGGTTACCACCGCATTTGGGGAGAGGATCGACAAGACCGAGAAGAACGTTCAAGCGTTGCATAAAGCCGAAAAAGCCTCAGCTTCAGATCGCAAGCAACTCAATGTACGAATCAAGAAACTCGAGGAAAGAGAAGCCGGGGTGACCACAACTACCACGGCTCTACAGAAGGATGTCGACGAGCTCAAGAAAGAGGTGCAGACCTTCAAGGCTGGGGCGGCTGGGGCGATCAATCCGCAGGTGCAGAACAAGAACTTCGACCCGTGGGCTCAGTATCTTCGAGGGCGTCGAGCTGCCCCAGAGCCAAAGAGCACGAGCACGGAAGACCATCGTGGTGGGGGCGATTCTCTCACTGACGAGGATCGCAGAACTTTAATCATTGGAGGTTGGCAGCAGGACACCAAGAAGCAAGTCATCCTTGATGAGAGCCGTGGATTCCTGACTCGGGACGACGTCAAGGCCAATGTGGACTCCACCGAGCTGGTGGTATGGGGGCCTCGTCGCAGCTTCGGGGCGCTACGTTTCAAGCCCAGGGGTGATGAAGCCGATACTTCCGTGCGCGATCGAATGTGGCAGGTGATCCGGGCACTTCGGGCCGCACCCCATCCTTTGCCTTCAACTGGGGCGAACGGGCAGGCGGGCAAGAACATGTGGGCACAGTTCGTGAAGACGAAGGACCAGCGGAGAAGGAGCTCACATTGCAGCTTGCTCAGGCGGGTATGCGTCACCATCGCTCATGAAGCCCAGGCGGCGGGGGAGTCCTTCAAGGAGGAGGCCACTGATGAGACGAAGTACGAACTCGACTGGAATGGTGGCACGGGGTGGTTCGATGAGTGGAAGCTGGGATCGGCGAGCCATCGCACACCCAACTCGGAACACGTCAAGCTCCTTTCTACGGGATGGGTCAACATCGAAGCCGTGGCCAACGTGTGTGGGGTGCCCATTGCAACTGCCTTATTGGCGGTCGAGAGGGAGCTGAACCGTTGAAGCGACAAGCATGGTTTCACCGCCGACTCCGTGTCGGCGTCACCTGGGATGGGGCGTTCTGATGCTGCTCAAGGCAATGTCAAAACCTTCGCCTCATGGAATGCAGGTGGGCAGCCGATGGATAAAATCGACCTGGCTGCAGCTGAATTCGACTTTCTTGCCGTACAGGAGATTGCTCGCACAAAGGAGGCGGGTTTTGATGAAAAGAAAGGGGAGAACTTCCAGTGGTTTCAACACCGAGCCGAAGACCAGTACAGAGGGGTGGCCATCGCCATCTCACATGACCTCCTTGACTGCGTGGTGGATAAAATTGCCACTGTGCGCGGGGCGGCCTGGTGTGTGAGACTACGAGGACACAAACGCTGCATTTTGGGGTCGTTACATGCACCTACTGGGGTGACGGTGGCCCAGTACCAGCGAGCAGTGGGAGATTTTCGACATGAACTGCGAAGATGGCACCCGAACACGCCGCTTATCTTGGGTATCGATGTGAACGAGGAGATCGAATGGACAGGGAACGACCACGAGACCCACCCGGCGCGCAACAACAGCAAGATGGGGGCGTTCTTGGAGATGTTGTCGGGACTTCGTCTTCGCGCCATGCCTCCCGTGCCTGAGGACCGCCGCAAAGCCACACATTATCCCCGAGATCGACAACGTGAAGGGAGGCATATCGACATGGTCGCCGGGCGTCTTGTCAATATCACCGACATCAAAGTCCTTGATCAGGCCCGCACCTGGGTGAACACAGACCACGCTCTTCTATTTGGCTATGTGTCCTTACCGGCAAAAAGGGTCGTGCCGTGGAGGGACAGCCGGCCCCGTTGGGTCGTTGGCGAGGGACCTCTTCCACCACTTGAGAACGTCGCGGACCTCTCCGCCATGGCCGCCAAGTACACCCGCCCTCGACAACCTGATCGCTATAGAGATGATGAGGAGATCCGGAGCCTGGCTTGGATGGCCAAAGTGCAGGCTGATGGCGAAGGGTGGAAACAAGTCCACCGGCTTCGGCGACAAAAGAGAAGACAATGGTACCGTGACCGACTTGCTCATATTGTACGTGGGGACTGGGCCGCTTATAGAAGTTACAAGAATGACAAGAAGGTGCGTGGCTGGTGGGGTCCCCTGCTGTCCGTGCATAGCAGCAAACAGGTTGCCGAGGGGGTGCATTCGCATCTCAAAAACAAGATGTGGGACGATGATGCCAAGGACTGGGATGCCCAACTGCGGGCGCTAATAGCTGAGCATGGGGGAGGTCACGTCGAGTCTGTGAGTGTCGAGGAGATGAGCAACGCGCTAACTGGCATGAAACCTGGGGCGGCATTGGGACCAGATGGAGTGGGAGTGCATCTTCTTCAACGTCTACTACAAGAGCAGCCCAACGCCTTGGGGCGTGTTGTCAAGGAGTGCATCGAAGGGGACTTGCCCGATGGGTGGGACGTCAGCTTACTTGCGCTCCTGCCGAAGGTGACGCAACCCACGGAGGCGTGTGAGTTACGCCCCATAGCCATGTCATCGGCGATGCAGAAATTCGTGACCCGCATTGTCATGGATCGCTGTTTTCACTTGGTGAGAAGACCGTGTAGGTGGGCAGCTAGCGGCAAAGGGCGACAAGTCGCTGACCTCGTGTCGGCAGTGGGGCGGCTTCGCGACATGGGGCGTGAGTGGAAAAACGGTGTCATTCTGGTGAAGCTGGACATCCAGGGGGCGTTCGATTGTGTGAAAAGACCGTCCATGGCAGCCTTCCTTGCTGACCGCCTTGGTGACAGCACATATGAGGGCGAACTCCGATTCCTACTACGTCTGCTTGGGTCAAACGAGCTACAAGGACAAGCGCCTGGGGGCGCAAAAGTGTCAGTGCATGCCAATCGTGGCATTCGCCAGGGGAGTCCAGAGAGTGCCGAACTCTTCGGGTTGCTAGTGCAGATGATAGTGGGAGAAGCTCATGCAGATCGTCGCTGGCGGGAATGTGGGGGTGACCTCGCGGATATCCCCTTGGACTGTGGCTGCTTCCAGGACGACCTCTTCCTCTGGGGCAATGACACCGCGGTGCTCGCGAATAACATCGCTATCCTCGCGGCCAAGCTGAAACAAGCAGGGCTCTTGCTTGCGGTTAAGAAGACGGCAGTGGTCGGCAATGTGCACTATAAAGGCCCGCGCTCACTTCGGGTGGACGGCAATGAGGTGCAGTTTCTGCCCAGGGGAAGCTCGGTTCGTGTTCTTGGGGTGGACTTCAACTTGGACGGCCCAACTGGTCAACAAGCTCGTGGCCTTATGGGACGTGTGTGGGCGGCATGGTCTCAGCACTCAGATCTCCTACGCGCTGAAGGAAAACTTACTGACAAGGTCCGCCTAATCCGCACGCTCTTGCAGGGCACATGGCAGTGGGTAGCTGGGGCGGTTCACTGGAACAGAGAAGAGCTACAGGCACTTAACTCGATGCAACTCAGGGTCTATCGTCTCGCCTTTCGGTGTCGCCGTGGGGCAGCTGAAGGGTGGGTCGAGTTCAATCAGCGAACTATGAGATGGATAAGGAGCTGGATGTGGACACATCACGTTGAGAGGTGGTCGACCACCGTGCTTCGCCTACAACATCAACTTGCTGGCCACTGGGGGCGATGTCGGGAGGGTGAACACATGGGCATGGCAGCGACAATGCTAAGGTGGAGGGATTTGTCTTGGTGGAGGGGTGAACAAGCATTGGGGGATGACACCGGGGCACGGCATCCAGGCTGCTTTCACGCTGATAACTTTGAACGTCGCATTGCGGGGGTGTTCGGCACGAATTGGCTCCTACAGTCCTACAAACCCATGACAGACAGAAGTGGAGGGAAGGGCTTTGCACGTGGCTGGAAGCTTTTGACTTGCCTTGGAGTCGAGCCCGTCAGCTTGCGTTGTTGTGTTAAACGCGTGCACCGCCGCTGCCGAGTGAAGCTTTTCGCAGCTGAAGGAGCAGTGGCAGCATGTGGCAGCATCGCGGGACGCTCACCTTCCAACCAGAGCAGAACATGTACAGTACAGCAACACTATGTTTTTCGCCTCCGCTTCTCGCGCAATGGCTCGACCTGGCTTTCGTGGGCGCCTGCTGCTCCTTTGTGGAATGGCTGCGCTTGGGTGGTGGAGCTGCCCTACACGCGTCATGGCGACCAACACCGAACCGAACCCTGAACCGGAGATTAACGTCCATGCCTGGAACACCGGGACTACTTCTGATGTGATACCTACCAACTACGTGGAAGGAGTGGCGGGAGAGCACTCCTTGTGGGATGAGCAAAACCGACAACATATGCCTGGGGAGACCGTGACCTACTACAACCAACCTCTTCCTGGCAGCGCGCAGACCTACTACAGCCAACCTACACATGGGGACGACCGTGAACCACCGGCCGCGGAGCAAAATCTGGAGCCACCGTGGCAGCCTGACACGGAGACGCCAGAGTGGACGTGGACCTCTACATGGACATCCTGGACTACCTCTTCCTGGACCAGCTGGAGCACGCCGTCATGGACTACCTGGACCTCCGGGACAGCCACGAGGGAGAGGGGTGATGAGTCATGGACTACCTGGACCTCCGGGACAGCCACGAGGGAGAGGGGCGATGAGTCATGGACTTCGTGGACTTCGTGGACTACTTGGACAACTGGGATGGGTTCTGATGGTGCTCCTGCCGCCTCTACCTGGAGTACATGGATGCCCACGCCTTCTACCTGGACTACCTGGACTGCGTGGACACCCTCGCCACCTACCTGGACTACGTGGTCGTCGTCTTCAAGCTGGAGCACATGGACTGGAAACCCTACATGGACGAGCGGGGCTACATCTACGGTGAGTGTGACAGGCTTCTATCGCCATGGGGTGTGGCAAGCACGGGCTCGTACAGCAGAGGAGCAACGCTTCCACGACAGGCGAGAACTGCCAAACGCAAGGCACGACAAGAGGCCTGGTTCCGGGGCGATTTTGTGCCAGCTGCTCAACGGATGCCACCGGCATCGGCGTCTTCTACGACATCCGTGCAGGACTTCACCGAGTTGCTGGGGCGACATCGAGAACCTGTCACCTTCAGAGGTGATGCACAAGGGGGGAGCGTGCCAGTACGACCAGCACAGCCCCCTCCGGCGGAGCAGTGCAGTGACGACGGGGAGACATCTGAGGGCCTCTCCAGCGTCTCTAGTGTGGCCTCGGATGGGGCTCCGCGATGGACACGACAACAGTGGGATGATTGGGAGGCCTGGGACAAAACGAACAACCCCGACGACGAGTACACCTCCCTCATGGAACTCACGGATGGGGAAGAGCACGAGCTAGAGCAGCTGGCCCTCAGTCAAGAAGACCGCACCCGCCTACGTGAACTACTTCGTGACCTTGAGGACCTTGCGCGACATGATGAAGGGGCGGAAGCTCGGTATGCTCTGAGTCGTTGGGTGCAGCGGTTTCGTAATGCACTTGACGATGTGAGAGACGTGGTGGAACTCCTTTCTCGCCGTACGTCAACCTTTCCGGGGTGTGACTTTCCAACCATGCGGTTGCCCAGAGACGCCCGCCAGAACACGGACCTCATGGTATGGGCACAGCAGTTCACCGTGGTCTGCTTGGACATCGCCGAGGACCTCACGGGACGTGGTATGTCCCTGGAACAACACCATCTGGGGCGGCGGCCAGTGAAGGCTCACGGGCAGCTGCATTACCACATGGGGCGAGGCAGCGCTCCCGGAGCCGAACATCCTGGAGATCCCGGCGCACGGGGAGACCAAGCAGCGCCTCACGGGACTCGCCGCGCAGCTCTGGGGAGCCGCCGGGAGAATCTGACGCTGGAGATGGGACGAGCATGGTACAACGTCTTCAACCACATGAAGCTCGCCGGCTCAAGGAGAACGGGGTGCGCACGGACTGCATCAACGCGCTGGGGCGACTCTTTGACACCCTAGCGGCTCTGGAGGAGGGCACGACGGACGCTGGCGAGCTCCAGGCGCACGAGGCAACGTGGTGCATGGCGGCCCTGGAAGAGACCATCCAGACGGCGCTTCGCGTAACAGAGGTCGTGGCGGACGTTGTGGTGTCGCGGCTTGGTGGGGCGTACTCCATGCCTACTGGCGAGGGACGGGGCGAAGTCAACCAAATGTGCCACGAGTCGGTCACGCTGCTCGCGCGGAACTTCTTGGATGTGGCGCAGGGGCGACTCGCTGATACGTGGCTTGATCCAGAGACTCTGCCGGCGGCGATGTTGAGAGTGGGTCGTGCGCGTGATCGTAGCCGCAGTCGTGATCGTGATGGAGCTGGTGCAGCGGATGGAGACGCGGCGGCTGGCAGTGATGGACGTCGACAAGACCCACCTTCCGCGTCACGAAGCACTTTGCCAGGGGGTCATGAAACACTGCTACTACAGACTACGTCACAGCTGGTGGCGCGGCCCTCTCGTCGCATGGTCGTGTGCTATGTGTGCTGCTTTGGGGCGCTGGGCTATGTGCTGGACTACGGGTCGTACATCGGATGTATGGCGAGTGGACTGGATGGAGGAGCGGACAGCTACTACCTGGACAAGACGTGTTGGGTGCTTGGACTGGAGGACGGCGAGTACCACTACTACCTGGACAAGACAGCCGTGATGGGTGGTGCTCTCTCCGTGATGTCTTGGGGTGGATGTCCGCCTATGTTCTGTCCTACCTCGGGGTGTCATCCGTGTTTGACCTGCCCTACGCTGTGCTCGTCGCCATGGTCGTCTTTGCCCTGATCTTCGTTGTGGTGGACTTTGGCTCCCTCGATGACGTGATGGTGGGATGGTTATTTCTGAAGTGTAGTTGAGAGCCGACTGCTGGCAGACGTAAAAGTCAACTCAACTTTAAAAAAAAAAAAACCCTAAAACCCCGAAGCCCTAAACCCCTCATTAAACCCTAAACCCTAAACCCCTAAGCCCCTACACCCCTTAACCGCTGAGCTGAAGTTGACGCACTCCAAACAAGAGCCTTCCAGGTGCGCCTGGTGCGGCCTTCATGGCTTAGGGTTGAGGTCCTAGGTACTGTTGCGGGGGATTTGGGGGATACTTCCGCAAATCATGATAGTCATTCCGAATAATGATAGACACCCTACATTCTATTGAAAAAGGTACTTCTAAGAAGCCGTAAAGGACCCTTAAAGGAAGCCTTAAAGGAACCCTGTTTGAGATACTTTCGATCCTTTGGGGGTTTAGGGCGAAGGTTTTCGTTTAAGGTTTTGGGTCTCGGGGTTAGGGCTAGGACTTGGGGTCTTTGGAAGCACGCACAGGTATGTTTCAGAGAGTTTGGGTTGAGATTTTAGGGTAATGTAGGAACTATAACCCCCAAAATAGTAGGATTCATAGAAGGAGCCCTAGCAAAGGCCCAAGGATTCTTAATCAGGTTCCCATCTTTAGGATCCCTATACCCTAAACCCTAAACCCTATACTTATAGGATCCTTAAGGGAGGGTGGTTCAAGGGGGGAGGGTATAAGGAATCCTTAGGGGACTGTAAGGGAACCTTAGGGAGTACTAAGGAGAATCAGGGATCACTAGGCTATATACCCTCCTTGGACCCCCCTCCCTTTAGGATACTACAATATACTATCGGCTGCTTTCTCCCCACGGGGCTTGGGCCTTAAAGGGAGGGGCATGGCCGAGGCCTCGCAGCTGATACAGTAGGACCCTGATTAAGAAACCCTGGGCCCTTATTCGGGTTTAGGGTTTAGGGCCTAAGGTTTAGAGTTTAGGGTTTAGGGTTCAGAAGTTCAGGGTTCAGAATTTGGGGTTTAGGGTTCAGAAGTTTAGGGTTTTGGAATTTAGGGTTTAGGGTCCAGAAGTTTAGGGTTTAGGGAGGGCCTGATTAAGAAACCTAGGAATCCGATATTCAGGGTTGTGGGGCCAGGGTTTCTTAGTCAGGTTCCTACATTGCTCCAGAATAATGCGGAACCTTTAGTCGCTAGCAATCCCAGAGGGTCCATATACACTACTGTTCTGGAATTAGGACCTAAAACACTCTCCATTATGGTTTTGGGAACCTAATTCCATAATAGGAGTCTGTGTATATGGATCCTCTGGGAATGCTAGTCCTTGGGTAAACGCAACCGCAAGCGCAGAACACGAAAAGCCCCTCAACCCCAAACCCCAAAACCCTAAACCCTCAACCCCGGCACCCTTAACCCTAAACCCTCAACCCAGAACCCCAAAATTCTAAACCCTAAACCCCGGCGTCCTAAACCCTAACCCGGTTGCCTAACCCTAAACCCCGACATCCTAAACCCTAAACCCCGACATCCTAAACCCGAAACCCTAAACCCCGACATCCTAAACCGACAGTCAGAAGCTCGACCGAAGGCTATGGTCTACCTGACGACATCTCTCCGTCCGGGCAAAAGTACCCGAGTTTTCCAGAGGTGGGGTCGCGGTTTGTCAGAGATCCGAAGGGGTCCTATAAGGGATCTATAAGGGTTTAGGGTTTAGGGTTGCTTTACAGGGATCCTATAGAGGATCTATAAGGGTTTAGGGTTTAGGGTGTCTGCAGAGATCCCAATACCTCTTAATTTCGGAATATACCTTAAATCATAATGATACGCCCCCTTAAGTTTAAGGTATATTCCTCAATGAAGGGGTATTAGGATCGCAAGGTTGGGGCTTAAGACCCAGGGTTCAGGGTTCGGGATTTTGGGGTTTCGGGGGTGGCGTGGGGTTTGTGGTGTAGGGTTTCGGGTGGTTGGCGCTGCGATTCAGGTCCTTTTCAGGGGTTTCGGGCCGGTTTAGGGTTTGGGATTTAGGCTTAGGGTTTAGGGCTTCCCAGGACCCCCCAATGGCCCTTTCATAGAGCCGTTATGGTCCTTAATAGTTGGTATTTGGGGTATAACAGAGCGTAGTTGGGGGTCCAGGTAAGAGGCTTCAGGTTAAAGGTTCTGGGTTTAGAGGATCCGACCCACGTGGAAAGCAAACCTGTTGTCAGGCAAGCCCAACATCAACGCCAAAAACCTATACCAACCCCAAACCCTAAACCTTAAACCCTAGCACCCGCAACTCCCCAAAACTGGATGCCCGTCACCGGAACTCTAGAGTCCGGAAGGACTCTTGATTTTCCAGGTTTAGCACGTTAGGGTTTAGGGGTTGAGGTTTGGGGTTTAGGCGTTAGGGTTTAGGGTTGAGGGCTTACCTGGACCCTATAAACAAAGGCCAGGTTTTATAGCATCAGACCCAGCCTTATCGAATTCCTGATTATGCTTTCCTCGTAATGAGTCCTTAGAAAGGTAGGTTTTTAGGGGTTCAGGTATGGTGGTACGGCTTAGGGGTTAGGGTTTCTCCCAGCCAGTCAGTTCAGTGGCACCCAAACCCTACAGCCCAAAGCAAAGGGGAGTTTCAGAAAATGACGGACCCTGCGATGGATCTAAAGGAACGTGCGATCCTTGCTACTACGATCACCTTAGAATGATGCGCTGCGAAATTGCAGAACCCTTATACACCCTAAGACCCTAAACCCTAAACCCTAACTCCAAACCCGCTAAATCCCAAACCGTCTTAAACTAAGCCCACACCCACAAAAACCCAAAACTCTCAAAGCACCACCAGACCAGGAGTCAAAGGCAGAACTTTGCCAGCACGCCCGATGAGACCTACGAGACTTTCGTCGTCGCTCTTGCTGACTTTTGATTTGGTGCTGGCAGAGTTTCAGGCTCCAAACGTTTAATTGCTGCCTGGAGCCCAAATAACCTATAACCTATCTCTCTGGGGTTCCCTATGATGATTTCCTTATTTCACTCCTTTAAACAGGTAGGTTGTTTGGGGTGAAGGTGAGCTTTTTCAGCAAGCCCTCATGCCTCAAACGTTTCCCGACGCATCATGTCGTCTTCTACTCCTCAGGGGTCAGGCCTTGATCTCGTGTTAGGGTGCAGAACCGTGCCGGGATAGGATTGGGGGGGATACATAAGGGCTCACGGCCCAGATCTTCCAATCGCCTGGGATTCCTTATCATGGTTTCTATATATAGTCCTCTAAAAGCAGGTAGGTCTTGGGGCCGCCTATATTTTCATTAATTTCTTTATACCTTATAATACTTCGCAACGAAGGGCTATTCTACAGATCCAATACCGTAGCCGCTAGCGATCGCTCAAGGGAACCTTTCAAACTTCCAAGAAGCCGTGCTCATGTTTGTCTTTTAAGTTTTGGTTGCCTCCTGCGCTTCTCATGCCAATTAGCACCGGAATCCTAAACCGAAGAACGCTAAACCTTAAGCCCAAACCGGCAAACCCTAAACCAGCAAACCCTAAACCCCTTAAATCCTGGACCCTAAGCTTTGCTGCAGCTGAGGAGAAGGCGAAGCACCTCGTGGAAATGTCGCGCTCGCACACGCTGAATCTCGGTCGGAAGTTTTGGGGTTTATGGATATAGAGTTTTGGGGTTTATGTAGGGTTATAGAGCTTTTGGGGTTTAGAGTTCAGGAATTAGGGTGGAGTTTGAGGTTTAGGAGATTTTGGTTTAGAGTTTGGAGAGTAGGGCAGGGAGTTTACCAGGACCGCCCGAGTGTCCTTGAGTGGGGTCCTTATGGTCCTCGAGGGGCGGTGTTTCGGATATGATAGAGGGTATTTGAGGGGTTTAGTAGTGGTTTCGGGTCCAGGGTAGGGTTTAGCGTTCCTTAGTGTTTAGGTCTTTAGGATTGTCGGGTTTGGGCGGTTGGGGGGCCAAAGTCGGGACAAAACGGTTCTGGGGGGTGTTGTTGTATATTATTAACCTGAAACATGATATGTGTAATTTTTTCGCTTGCCAGAACCACTATGCTTTGAAGGCACCCTAGGCTGCGATCCCTATAGAAAGAGCGAAGCCCTAAAGCCTTCCAAGGGTTTGCAGTTTAGGGTTAACTAAACCCCAAAGCTCTAAAACCCTAAACCCCAAAACCCTAACCCCAAACCCCCAAAACCCTAAACCCCAAAGCCCTAGCCCGACCGCAGGTACGCCTCAATCTTGGGTTCGGCTTTTGTGAGCGTGGCCAGCGCCAGTGCTCTCAGCTTCTCCGAGACAGTGGGGCCCAACCTCATGCGCCTCGGCTGCGTGGGGTTTAGGGTTTAGGGTTTAGGGTTTTGGGGTTTAGGGTTTTGGGGTTTAGGGTTTAGGGTTTAGGGTTTAGGGGTTTAGGGGCTCTAGGGACTCATATTTTAAGCCTTTGGGCCCAAAGACCATACTATATCAGGCTTTTGGGCTACTTGGAGCCTGAGGGTTTATGGCTTCCGTCTGAAACGCTAGACCCTAAACCCGGTTTTAGGGCTTCAGGGCTTGAGGGCATGGTTTTAGGAGTAAGCGCGTGAAGACTTCAAGTCTATACCTGTGACGCCAAAGCCTACAAAATAGTAGGCTGTGACCCCTTGCTTAGAGGGTAGGATTTTGGATCCCCAGGTAGGGTCTAAATGAGCAGGATCTCGGGACGTTTCTTGCTGCTAGTCGTGTTTCATGGGTTTTGGGATGAAGGCGTGGAGATGCAGGGTCTTTGTATTTTCCGACAAGGGGGGCAGAGGAGACGTAGTGTTTAGGGTTGCAATTCCTTGTATCGGTAACTGTTTTGGCGTGAACAACTCCAACCCTGCTCACCAAGTCCCGCGTTCCTATTGGAAGTCCTGGCTTAAGTACGATTACGGGCTCTACTCTACGCCTTCCTTTCGAGACCCTTATAGGATTATTCTACTTATTCAGGCCCCGATATTTGCAAGGATCTTATATGGCGTTGACACCCCAAAACCCTAAACCCTAGGCCCTAAACCCCGAACTCTAAACCCCAAACCCTCAACTCTGAGCCCCAAACCCCAAGCCCCAAACCCTAAAGCCTAAACCCTGATCTCTAAACCACGGCATCCCTTGCTGAGACGTTTTAAGAGAGCCCAATACCCCATAATTCAGGAATAGACCTCAAACGACAATTGTGGCCGCCATCATTCAGGGTATATACCTCCTCAACATAGGAGTATTTGTTTAGGGTTCGTTTAAGGGTTTAGGGTTTCGGGCTACGTTAAAGGGTGTAGGGTTTAGGCTTCCTTGTAGGGCTTAAGGTTTCGCGAAACCCTCAACCCTGAACCCTGAACTCTAAGCTCTCAGCCCTAAACCTTACCCTACACCCTGAACCCTAATCCACGAACCTTGCCGAGAAGGGTCCTTTAAGGGTTTAGGGATCCTTTAAGGGTTTACGTCCATTCCTCAATTAAGGGAACCTTGGGTTAGGGACCCAAAAAGCACATAAGCATAAGCATTTTATGGGGATATCCCTATCTTATTGGGCTTCATTATAAGGGGCTTATATGGGATACCCTTATCCTAAAAAATTGCTTATGTGCTTTTTTGGGGCCCTATTGGGCTTTCCCGGGTTTTCCCAAAGGCTCGACAAGTTGGTCTTTGCCGTGGTCCTTCCCGCGCCTGGGCACCGACTTAACTCTGGGCAATAGCCCAAAAGCCTTACTAGGTAGGGCTTTGGGACATTTTATATTTTCCCTTATTGGGCTTAAGAGGATCTAATTTTCTAATATTTTTCCAAAGCTTTAAAAGCACCGCCTAGCTTATTATGGGGGGGTTCCCTTTATTAAAGGGATCCATAGGGGTTCTATAAAGGGTTTAGGGTTTAGAGCCTTATTTGGGGTCCTTGGCATCCTACTCTTTGGGGTACTATATTATGGTCCCCTATTTTCGGAAACTCCCATTTTGCATGGTCTTTGAGCCCAATACATGAGTCCTTAGAGCCCTAGGGTTGGAGGGTATTGACAAGGGACTTCTAAGCTTCTATTAACCTAAGGGTCCATGTGCTCATGTAGGCATCCCCCTAAACCCTATACCGTGTCCCAAAGTTTTAAGACCGAATCAAGGTCAGAAAGTCGAAACTCAAAACCCAAAAACTTGATTCCTAATGCCTAGGCCTGGAGTCCTAAACCTTTAACCTTAAACCGTACACTTAACACAACACCATGAGCCCAAATCAAGACCAGAGCATTTGGGGGTTTGATAGTGTCAGTCGTGGAGGCATTGGTGTACAAGTAGAAGTCTGAGGGGCTCTGGTTAGTTTCACCTTGTGGGCTCAAGCTCCAAGGTGGTAGGATTGCGTGGCGCTCCAGGTTTATACGCCGTAGTATCGACTTTAAACATCCTTCTGAAGAGAGGTACCTTAGATGGAAGCCGTGACAACAGCCTCCCAGTTCCGATGGCCCAAGGATCCGTATAGTATATAGTTTGGTCGTTAAGTTCCTATATAGGGACTTCCGACTACATCAAGGCCTAATTAAGTATATACCGTATGAGTACATAGACTTATTAAGACTGTTGGCCCCTGGTTTTGAGGTATTGGGCTCTTGGTTTGCAACGTGACTTGCAAGTGCCCATGAACTTTCAACTATGCGCCTAGGTGTTAGGGCTTTCACGCCTTTAGAGTCGTCGTGTAGGATGAGCTTCAAAATTCACCCTGGACCCTAAACCCTAGAGTGCGAGAGGCATGAGTAGGCTGCATGAGAGAGCAGGAGCATACATGTAGTACCTGTCAGGGTTTAGGGTTAGGGTTTAGGGTTTAAGGTTTAGGGTTTAGGGCTAAACCCTATAAATAGGAGGGCGATGACCCTTATTCAGAGCGAAAAATCTTTAACCAGTAGGGTTTGGGATCCCCAGGTAAGCCCTAAACTCTAAACACGTGTTAGCGTCTCTGATTCTCGCTGCACTCTCTTCCAGCAAAAAGAGGCGAAGGAACATGCAGAAGACATAAGCCTCCCCTTAAAAAAGCTGCTTAGATCTTTCCGACAGAGAAGAGAGAGTATGTTGCCCATGCAGCGCAGGTTCACCTTCTGCTTTGCCAGCTATGTGGCGGGTTTCTTGGCATGGTCGTTGTTGCGAACGGTTTAGGGTTTCGGCTGTCGCCTACGTGATTTGCGTAAATTTCCGAGTTTGGACAGTCGTAAAGCCGAAACTCGTGACATACCTAGAGTGGAGGTTCCGACCGCGGAAAGCCGAAACCCCAAATACCCATGTGCCTAAATGAGAGTTTCAGAATGTAAAGCAATCCTATCATGGAAACCCTGCTCGTCATCATGACGGCAATCCTCATATTAGCCCCTCAATTTAGACCCTACGCGGTGGGCTCCTGATTATACGGATCCTTCATAAGGTATCCCTAATTGTCTGAAGCCCGCAGAATCTCTGGCGGCACTAAACCTCCAAATCATTCCCATAATACCAATCCTAAATCCAACGGCCCCAAACCCGAAACCCTAAAGGCCCTAAACCCTAAATCTCTGGAGGTAGCTCATCATTTGAAGCCCACCGAATCTCTGGCGGCACTGAACCCCCAATCCTAACCCGAATACTCATCCTGAACTCAAAGGCCCTAAACCCTAAAGCCGCACCCTAAACTCAAAACCTTGAACCCTAACCCGAATGCTGATCCTGAACGACCGGAACCCTAAAGCCTTGAACCCTAAACCCTGAACCCTGAACCCTAGCCCGAATGCTAAGGCAGCTCACCACTAGCAACCTTTCCATGCTCTGCATCGGCGTCTCGCAGGGCCAGGCATTCCACGGGCTTAACGGGTTTGGGTTTGAGGGTTCATGTTCGTGGTTTCGTGTTTAGGGTTTATGGGGTGTGTTCAGGGGTTCAGGTTTTGGAGGTTGAGGGGGTCTTAGGTGTAGCGGTTGAGGGTTTAGGAGTTGAGGGGGTCTTAGGTATAGCGGGTCGTGGGTTTAGGGGTGCAGGTGGGTCTGGGGTCTTGTGGTTTAAGGTTTTACACGTCCAGCTGTCTTGGGTTTAGGTTCTAGAAGTGTATGGATCGAGTGTACGGGTTGGGTTGATGTGTCGACCCGGGTACCCATGCATGCAAATATGTGTAGACGCATGTGTACATATATGAATATATGTATATGTATATACACACGTGTACACACAAATGCATATATGCACATACCCATGTGTGTATGTATGTATGTATGTATGTATGTATGTATGTATGTATGTATGCACCTACGTATGTATGTATGTATGTATGTATACACGTATGTGTGAACAAACGTACGTGCGTACGTATGTATGTATGTATCTATCAATCTATTTATCTATCTATCTATCTATCTATCTATGTATGTATGTATGTATGTATGTATACACGTATGTGTGTACAAACGTACATGCGTACGTATGTATGTATGTATCTATCAATCTATTTATCTATGTATGTATGTATGTATGTATGTATGTATGTATGTGCGTGTGTGTTTGTCTGTGTAACATGTGTATGGGCATGTGTATGGGTCTGGGTCTGCTTCTGTGTCTGTGTACGTGTCTGTGTCTCTGTGTGTGTGTGTGTGTGTCTGTGTATGTGTCTCTGTGTGTGTATGTTTGCTGTATGTTACACATGTTGTCTTGTGTCTATGGATGTCTATTGTCTGGCTTTGCACGTCATGGCCAGGTATCGACATGCATATGATTTGACCATCTTCTTCAAGCTTTCCGATTCGTCATACCCGTAAAGGTTCGGATAATTCCTAAGCCTAAACCCAAACCCTCTACCCCAAACCCACTTGAATCATGTGTTGCAGGCGTTGTAGCAGTGCTCGAAGGTAGCGGGTCTTGGGAGTTCTAAGAGCTATTGCCTGAGACGAGAGAGCCATTCTGGCAACTGCCATCCCGCTTGCAAAGTCTCCCTTTGTCTTCGGTTCTTTGTTGGCCATGGTTCTCGGAAACACCCTATATAAACCCTAAACCTACTACCTTTAGGGCTGCGCGGTTGTGCCAGGTGCGCTTCAGGGACGCCCTGCGAAACATCGGGCTCGTGCTGTTCGGGAATACCATTGGGGTCTTGCTGATCCTTGGTGCCGTCCGCTACTTGCAGGTCTTGGACGCCGAATCTCTCGCCGTGGCAGCCATTATGGCGAAGAGCAAGTGCGCCTACACGTTCGGCCAGACTGTTGTAAAGGCGTTCGTTTGCAACTGGATCGTCTTCATTGCATATTGGCTGGGCGTGCCTTGGATGTCCACTGTGTTTTACAGGCGCTCAGTGGGTCCGTGAAGCATAACAGAGCAAGCTGAAAACCCGGAAGCCCAAACACTAAACTCCTAGTTACGCTACCGTTACGCAGACCCAGACCCAACTACCTGACCAAAGCTAAGCTGTCACACAAACCTATACCCAATTCTGCACCCAAGACCCGGTACCCGAAACAATTTTAAGTCTTCAGGCTCTATAAACCCCAGGCCCTAAGCCATAAACCCTAAAACAGCTGAGGGTAAGGGATCATTCATAGGCTTTGGGAGCTTGAAGGTCATACTCTGAACTCTAACACTTCCCTTCTTTCGGATTAGGGCGTGGGGTTTAGATCCCCAAAATAGACCCCAAGGGTCCATGTGCCCACATAGTATATACTTGGAGTTAGACCCCATGTACCTAAATAGGGACTACTTTAAGGCCAATGTATATACTGTGTGGGTACATGGACCCTGAGGGAGGCAGACGAGGTCATGTCAAAGCACATCCCAAGAGGGTCCATCAATACCACCATTACGGAATTACGTCCCAAAAACCATAGTAAGAATGGTCTTGCGGGACCTAATTCCATAATGGTGGTATCTATGGACCCTCTTAGAAAAACAAGGTCATGTCAAAGGACATCAAGGGAAAGATGACCGGAATATGGACCGCAGTTTTCATGTACGCCGCGGTGGGCTTTGAGCACATCGTCTCTTCCTCAGCAATTGCGGTTTAAGGTTTAGGGTGAGTAATCCCCTTTTGCCCTTTTTGTAGTATGGTTCCCTTATTAACACCGAATGTTCGGAAAAAGGGGTACCCTCATCAAGGGGTCACTCAGGATACTCGAAAGCGTGCCCACTTGTCTGTTGTTCAGGCCAAAGCGTTTCGGGGATTGAGGTCCTTTGGTGTTCTTTGCGTTGGGGTTGTTTGTGCGTTTGTCGGTGCGTCTGGGTTTCTGCTTTCTCGCTGCCTCTTCCTCTCCCTCTATCGCCCCTCTCTCTCTCCGTCTTTCTCTCTTCCTCTCCCTCTCGCTCGTTGTTTCTCGCCCTCCCTCGCTCTGCCGAGACTTATGTTCAATGTTGGACACCCTTTGACGGAAGCCTCGCAAAAGGATGCAGCCTCAACCTTGAAATCTATAAACCCTAAACCCTACCTTAACCTCAAATAACCTGCCTTTTAAAGGACTTATATAAGGAAATCATCATAGGGAACCCCCAAAAGGTAGGTTGTTTGGGGTCCAGGTACGCCCTAAGCCCCAAGACCTTAAGCCACGAAGCACAAAGCCTGAAAGCAGTAAACCCCGAAGCCCTACACACTAAACCCTGCACCATGCCCCAAATCCCAAAACCTGCCTCAGCCGGAGCACCAAGCCCCGGACTCCTGAGGCCCCGAACCCTTAATCCACAAACCCTAAGCCCTCAACCCAAAGCCTTAACCATGGAGAACCCGTGCAGAATCCTTACAAAGCCATGATCAAATCCTTAACTCCTAAAGCTTGTACGACCTTCTTTGAATCCGTAGAAGGGTATGGCCGAACAGACGAAACAAACCCTCAGCCATGTAAACCGTATAGCCAACCCTACAAGCCCCATCAACTCTATAAGCCCTATGAACCCTGTAAGGTCTATAATCCCTATAAGCCCTGAAAGCGTCGAGGTGACGAATATGTTCCTTCTTCCCGCAGCCGCCATGGGTGGCACCCACTTGACAATGCTCGAAATGGTCTGGAAGAATCTCTTCCCAGTCCTCTTGGGAAATGCCCGGGACTGAGGAGGAGGTCTGTTTAGCTTTAGGGTTTAGTGTTTATGCCGCACCCTTGGAAGGTTTGTTTGGGGTTTGGGGCTCAATCAAGCCCGAAACCCAGCTTTGGAGAAGGATTGTTTGAGGTCCGGGCTCAGGGCCTTAGCCTCAATCCCAAGCCCTGCTTCCGAATGCCGGGGGCTTGGACAAGTTTGGCTGAAGAACGGGTTCTTGCATGTAGCAGCGGTTCTTAAACTCGCAAGCATACCCCAGGAGTTTCAAGGAAAGTATACGAGAGTTTCCGAAAATTCGGGGTACATGTTTGCTTAGTGTGCTATATTGGGGTCCCCTTTTCTCGGAAACACCCCCATTTTCGGACCTTTGTAGTGTGACCCGTGTGGTAGACCCTTTACAGAAACCCCAAACCCTCTAATCATACAGACCCCTATAGCAAAACTCCGATGCTATAGAGTAGCGCCCATTGGGGCACAAGCTCTTGGGCTTAGCTTTTCGGGTTCTAGGGTCCCGGCTTCAGTGTTGGGATACTGGTTCAACTCTTCTGGTTCCAAAACCTTGAATTACGGCCTATTTAAATCCCCAACCGAAAGCGACAAACACAAGCCCACACCCCACGTCCTTACCAGGTGGCAGCTTCTATCTTGGTTGCCGGTGGATCTTTCGGCGTTGCGTTTGGGTGCCTCTGCTTGGATAAATTGGACTCGCGCTTTGGGGGTATATGCACTACATAATGTAACTACCTTCAACTACCAAACCCTACTTTTTTGTAGGGTCCTATTATAAACCCTAATATGGAATTTATAGGGACCCAACAAAAAAGTGGGTTTTGGTAGGTTAAGGTATTTATTAGGAGCCACAAGGAGGCACTGCTACCAACTGTTCAGCTTCCTGCACTGTCGGTTTAGGCCGCAAGGCAAGGGTTGCGATTAGGGTTTGGGGTTTAGGGTTTAGGGTTTAGGGTTTAGGGGTTTCTTTGGTCTCTTGTCGATCAAAAAGCTAGTTTCCTGTTCTCTTGAGGTCAGGAGGTGTCGCGTATTCGGCCAAACGTCTCATGGCTTTAGGCAGTCCTAGGTACCGGGAATGATGGTCATCTCCACAAGGATCTTCAAGCGGGCCCTCAAAGGGCTCCTGAAAGGGTGCCTTAAAGGGTTCCTTGCTGCACAGGGTTCCTTACAGTGCTCACGTATAGCGGTCCTATGATTAGTCTTGTTGGTTAGTGTTTCAGCTTAACGGGCTCTGAGGTTACTTTTGTGTTTAGGTGTGTAAGGTTTAGGATTTCTAGGGCTTCCTTTGACCTCTATACCAAAGCCTACTTGTTTTATTGTCTTATTATGAACCCTAACATGGAGTTTACAAGGGGCCTTACAAAAGAACCCGGCCCTGACTGGTTAAGGTAGGGTTTACTAGGATCCAGAGTAGGCCCTTATTCCCCTTTTTAGGGTTTAGGTTCGCTTATTCCACCCTTTAAACCGAAAAAAAGGGTACCAAGTTTATTCCTAGATCACTCTTAGGTCTAGTTGGGCAAAGATGACCGAATCAGTCTGGCTTGGGCTGCGTCTTCTCTTCTGAGTATTGCTGAGGGCGCTACGACCGGGGTTTGAAGTCCTCAAGTCTTATATAACAGGGAGGGTTCAGGCTTAAGCGTTCTGTTTTTTGGGGCTTAGGGTTTAGGATAGATTTAAAGGTTTAAGGTTGATTCAGGTTTTAGGGCTTATAAGGTTTCTTATTCAGGCGGTTTAAATAGAGTTCAGAGGGTTCAGGGTGTAGACTCCGAAACGTTTTGCCCTGAGCCCTTATTCTTAATGCCTCAGCCCTCAGCTGACCTTGGCGCTCGCGCAGAGATTCCTTTGATTACGGAACGTGTCCAGACACTTAACTAGTCGGAACAGTTTTGAAAGGATTGAGGGGTTCTTTCATTCTGGACCCTTGACTCTTCAGACATGCCAAAACCGTTTGGCAACGGATCCTCAACAGACATCCCCAAACTCTTTGGGAACGGATCTTCTGTAGTCTACAGTCAGAACCCTTTAAAACCTAGGTCTCTAAACCCTAGGCGTCTCTCCAGACGGCTGCACGACATGAAGCTTTCCAGGAAGCCGGAAGCCGCTGGGCGTCCGACAAAAGGGTTAGAGAGGTTAGGTTCACCTTATCTGTGAATTCAGTTGTCTTGGAGCGCTTCAAGGGCAACTTTTGAACCCATAACCCTTAAACCCAAACCCTCATAAGGGTGCAGGGTTCAATATTTGGGGGTTCATGGCTTGGGGTGCAGGGTTTCGGGGTTCAAGGTGTCGTGTCCAGGCTTGGAGGCCTAGGTCTTCGGGCTGGAAAGGTTCAGGTTTAGGTTACCAGGTACAAGCCAGGAAGTTGGAATATGATGATCCTAACCCTTCTATGGTAAACTATAGGGTATCCTACCATGAAACCATATTCCAACTTTCTGGAGTTCCCTGTAAGGGTTTAGGATTTACGGCTTGAGGGTTTAGGGTTAGGGTTTAGGGTATCGGGTTTACGATTTAGGTTTTAGGGTTTAGGGGTCAGGGCCAGCGCATGGGCTCCGCTTTGATGTTGCCGCTCATGTTGCGCAGTTACCCTGCTTGAGACTAACATGCAACCTCAGAAGGTGCGCCACAATCAGCATTCCGATGATCATTGTTGCTATTACTGTTCTTATTGCTGTTATCATGCTTACGATTATCAATATGACGGACTGCTGATACTTCTGAAGGTCATGAGGGGTCTACGTTTCCGTGTAAGCTCCAGCTTGTCGCTCGGAATTTGAATTCTCTCTTCTGCACAGGGGAGTTTCCGAAAATTAGGGGTACCTTATTTTAGGGCCTTTATAATGGGGATCCTACTATTTGGGGTCCTATATTAGGGTCCCCTATTTTCGGAAACTCCCACAGCTGGCTCAGTTTTGGAGTCTGATTAGGCTAAAATCCCAGAGCCTTAACACCTCTACACATTACACATATACCCTTAATACTGGATCCTGATCCCTAGACCTAAGATTCTAAACTCTACACCCTATAGAACCTTTTTGAAACCTTATGCGTGGTAGCCGATAGCCCATATATATAGAGCCTTGCAGTCCTGCGGTTGATGATACAAATCCTGCATTACCCTAAGGACCCTAAACTTTGGCAATTATGGTATATTCCTTATTATGGGTTATGCAGGATTTTTTTATCATCAACCGTGCCGAAGTGAGCTATAGGGGCTTCTACTAACGAGTCACACCATCCCCTGCTATTTTTTAGGGTTTAGGGCTTAGGATTTACGGTTAA